AAAAAAAAAAAAACAACTGTGGAATGCACGAATGGATCCAGCATCCTGAAGCCACCTTGGGTCCCCTTCCAGTTTTTACCCTACAAGGCTAACCACGGACCTGACTTCTAACAGTACAACGTAGTTGTACCTGTTCCTATACTTTAAACAAATGGAATCTTTTTGAATGTCCTCTTTTGTGTTTGACTTCTTTAAGGTGATTTTGAGATTCAATCATCCGCATTATTTGAATAAGCATTATTTGGATGAGATTCATTCCTGGTTTAGTAACTCCATTATAAATAGGCATTTAAGGACTTTGCAGTTTGGGAATTAATAACCCAAGAAAGATATAGATAGATGATGATAGATAGATAGATAGATAGATAACATTTCTGAGCCATATGAGGTATACTAGTAACCTTAAAGATACAGCCTGCCAGTTATTCAAATCACAATAATTTCTACCACCAGCAAAGTGGGTAAATTCCAGTTACTCCAGCATCTTTACCAACACTTGATATTCTCAGTCTTTCTCATTTTGCCCATTGTAGTGGGTGCATTATAATTCTCTTCTGAAATAAATTTGTTAAAATAAGGGAGGCAAAAAGATAGTTTTTAATTGACTTGCACGTGGATATAAAGCTGTATGGAGCCCTGGCTTGAACTGGGGGTTCACAGGCATTCCTAAACGCTACAAGGGGCCTATGTCCAGCGTGACTTATCATGGTCATGGTCATTGTGTCTTCCTTGCTCTCACTCTCCCCTTCTCCTTTACCCTTCTTCTCTTGCTCCTTCATCCAGCCTGGCTCTGACCTGGCGGGACATGCAGCATCTGACAGTGCTCACCTCCAAACGGAACCAGCTCCACGATGAGGTCCACCAGTGGCGGCGGAACGGGGTTGGCCTGGAGTTTAATCACCTCTTCGGCTATGGGGTCCTCGATGCAGGCTCCATGGTGAAAATGGCTAAAGACTGGAAAACCGTGCCGGAGCGATTTCACTGCGTGGGTGGCTCCCTGCAGGACCCTGGGTAAGTGAGGCAAGCAGTTCCGCTACTGCATGAGGAAAATACCTCAGAGGTCATGCAGGAGTTCTGGAAATATGATCAGAGTTCTATGTCAAGATGCCCGCATGTAATGCAAGGACAACCCTGCTCCAGGCAGGGTTGTGAAGTTGCACAACCGTAGAGTGTCATTAACAACAAACACAGCTGTATAACTCGTAGCCCCTGTGTTCTGATGTGGGTGCTGACTGCTTCAGTGGCTTACACCATTTTTCTTTGTAGATGCACAAATCTAGATGTAAGCAGCACGTAGAGCAAAAAGCAGAGCATAACCAGTCTCCGATCGCCTCTGCCCTTCCAGGCTCCATCTTCCCACAGATAAACTCTATTCTTCCTTCTGACTCTATGTTGTTGTTGCTGTTATGTGCCGTCGAGTCGTTTGCGACTCATAGTGACCCTATGCACAAGAGCCCTAAACCCTGCTCTAGCCTGTACCAATCGCATTGCCTCTGACACACCCATCCCGATTACCCCAGTCACCGAATCAATCTATCTCATAGAGGGTCTTCCCCTCCTGCGCTGTCCCTCCACCTTCCCAAGCATGATGTCCCTCTCCAAGGACCCGTCCCTCCTGGCAACATGTCCAAAGTATGTCAGACGAAGCCCCAGAATCCTTGCCTCCAAGGAGTA